CTGAGTCGGCCCTCACTGTGTCGCTCCCTACTCCTGTCACTGACTACTACCGCACGTACCGTCCTGTTCTCTCTCGTGTTCTCGCCTCTCTTGTTACTCACCCTCGTGCCTCTGTGTCCTCTGTGTCCGCTCTTACTGCCGCAGTTACTGACTTTGCCTCTACCCGCCGCCTTGACTACGCCACCACGCTTGTGGCTGCTCCTCCTACCAGTCCTCTGGCCGTCGGGGGTGTGTCTGCCCTTGGCTGTGACGCCCTAGAGGACAGGCAGTTTGAGCTAGAGTTCCTGGCGGCCGCTTCCCCTCATCTCTGTGCCATGCTCCTCGCCCCTGAGGGTGACCCCGACGCCCTTGACATTCCGACTCCTCGCACTTACGCTGAGGCAGTGTCAGGGCCTTGGGCCTCTCAGTGGAGAGCTGCCATGGACGCAGAGATGGCCTCCTACAGATCCACAGGCACCTACGTCGATGAGGTTCCCCCCCCTGGGGCGAACGTAGTCGACGGCATGTGGATCTACAGGGTGAAGCGGCCACCGGGATCTCCCCCGGTCTTCAAGGCGCGCTACGTGGCTAGAGGTTTCAGTCAGCGCGAGGGAGTTGACTTCTTTCAGACCTTCGCACCTACCCCGAAGATGACCACTCTTCGGGTGTTACTACACGTAGCAGCACAGAGAGACTACGAGTTACACTCTCTCGACTTCTCCACTGCTTTCCTTCAGGGCAGCCTACACGAGGAGGTCTGGTTACGTCGTCCCTCGGCCTTCACTGGCACTTTCCCTCCTGGGACCCAGTGGAGGCTGAGGCGACCTGTTTACGGTCTTCGCCAGGCCCCTCGTGAGTGGCACGACACTCTGCGTTCTACCCTCTCTGACCTTGGGTTCCAGCCGTCTTCTGCCGACCCGTCGCTGTTCGTTCGTCGTGGCTCCACACCGTTCTTTGTCCTGGTCTACGTCGACGACCTCGTTTTCGCCACTCCGGACAGGGTTGCTTTGGCAGACGTGAAGTCCGAACTGCAGAAGAGACACACGTGCACTGATCTTGGTGAGCTGCGCCACTACCTTGGCCTGCAGATCACCAGGGACAGAGCCGCTCGCACCATTTCACTCTCACAGTCACACATGGTGCAGCAGGTCCTTCAGCGGTTCGGGCTTCAGCACTCCACCGTACAGCGCACACCTCTTGCTGTTGACCACAGACTCACTGGTCCCTTTCCTGACGAGTCGTTTGAGCCTAGTGGTCCCTACGCAGAGCTTGTGGGTTGCCTCATGTACCTGATGACTTGTACTCGCCCGGACCTCGCCTTCCCTCTCAGCATCCTTGCACGCTTTGTTGCGCCAGGGAGACACCGTCCTGTTCACTGGACGGCAGCTGTGAGGGTGGCGAAGTACCTAGCGACTACATCAGGCGTGGGGCTAGTTCTTGGAGGGCAGCAGTCTGTCGTACTCACTGGTCACTGTGACTCCTCTTACGCTGACGACGCTGAGACTCACAGGTCTACTCAGGGGTACTGTTTCAGTCTGGGTTCTGGAGCTGTTTCCTGGCGTTCCACGCGCTCCTCTTCTGTCTCGACCTCTACAGCTGAGGCTGAGATTTACGCTGGTGCCATGGCGGCACAGGAGTTGCGGTGGTTGACCTTCTTGCTCGCCGACCTTGGTGAGCGGCCGAGCTCTGCACCGACCTTGTTTACTGACAACAAGGCATCGATCCTCCTCTGTCGTGAGCCGCGACTGGAGAGCAGAGTGAAGCACATTCACGTCAGGTACTTTCTTCTGCGAGAGTTGCAGAGACGTGGACAGACTCGCTTCGAGTTCGTGGAGTCCGAGGCCAACACTGCAGACATCTTCACCAAGGCGCTTCCGCCTTGTGACCACCAGAGGTGTTGTGTGCAGTTAGGCCTTGTTGACTCAGGTTCTAGTCATGTGTAGACTTGAGTTTATTGCCTGCTTCGTCTGTGCACTTGCTATGTATATTTGTGATCTCTTGGACTGGCCTTGTGGCCACTGTTGCTTGTGCTCAGAGTGTGTGGTGACGTTGTGATCCACCCTGAGCTTTGTTTTCTTTCGGACTGGTCTTGTGACCGTACTCTTTTTGATTTTGCTAGACACCCCTCACTTAGGCTATGGGGGTGTGTCAAATGTTGTAGCCTGTAGTGAGGTTTGTCTTAAGGGGTACAGAAGTTAGGGTTTGTTATATGTACCCCAACCAACATCAATGGAACCATTCATTCCTCATTCTGACAGTAACGGACATGTGAATATTCAGTTCTCCCGTTTATTGTATTCTGTATTTGTATATTGCAGCAGGAATTATTTGCTTCCCTTCACGGCGATTGATGGAATGCCCCTAGCATAAGCACTCCTAATGCCTCAATCTAACTTAAGGATTTTGGGTCTCTTCATCTCACCAGCCGGAGCTACATATTGAGTTGTATGGACAGCTATGCATATTTCATGTGTTGAGAGTGGGCCCCTAGTTCAGGCTAAGCATTCAAATTTGGAAACTTGAATGGCCACTTCTAGCCTCCCACTGCAACACAGCCGTCGATATCTTGTTCTGCACGATTCTTGCAGCGGGTATTGCAGGCGACGTGGTCAGGGCTTCGAGTGACATGGCATCGTCCTTGCTTTCCATGGCTTTTTGGTTCCTTCACAGTTTTCTCTCCCAGCTAGGAACGCGGTCGAATGTTCGTGGTGACAAATTTTCCAGCAGAGACACTCAATGAAACACAGCCACGTGTAAGCGTCGATGTCCACCACACGCTTTTTCTGGGACCTATTCAAACAATACGTACTGAAGCTAGGGATTGTTCGGGAGATTCGCTTCATCGATAACTGTATTGAGAAATCGAGCTGTGGTAACTGCATGCACGAAAGACACGAGCGATGATCTGGTTTCCAGGAGGACGCGCCTTCATAAGGAAGTGCAGATCTATGTGCTGGATTCTGTTATGGCGCGGCGAGGGGAGCAGATTACAGGATGAGGGGGAAAAGTGCCGCAGTTGCGGTGAGCTCAGGAATTTGATGGACAACAGACTGCTTTTCTTGTTCATCAGTCCATAATAGCTCAATTGCTGAAGAATTGACATGACAACCATGTTTAACCGCTGATGTCGCACTTCTATATGTCCATTAGGCCGATCCAAAAACCACAATTGCAAGCAATCATGCTCAAGTTACCTCTACATACTGTCTCTTTAGATTCTCATCTCATCATCTAACGAAACTCTCATTGATGTCGCTCGCGTTCCACCTCCTCCCATCCATCCGGTCACCCCATATTATCGATCCCGCACCCGAAGGCGCATCTATGTCCGTCCATCTGTCTGGAATGGATTTGACGCGCATCACATTCCGTACGTGAAGCGACGCCGCGAAGCTACACCCTCACACAGGACGCAGTAATTAAGGTCGCCTGTCATGACAAAGCTCCAACGCATCATCCGACGTAGCATCCTCCGTGATACGTCATCATCATCCTTTGCACATCAGTCATCCATCGTAACGCATCAAACGCCCCTGCGCAACTGATAGCCGCCTGCAGTACACCGTCGAAAATCTCGCATCATAGCGTCCGTGCGCATCTCGTATTTCCGAGGCACTTTCTAAAATATATCTTCCCCGCGCGCGCGAGCCATGGTTGCGCCCGAGCATCTCCGCACTTTCTGGAGCCGCTGTCTCCTCGGCCTTCGCACGGCCACCGCCGCGGTCCTCGCAGCGGTGCTCGTCCTGCACGAACCCTTCGCGACGTGGTTACCAGTGCCCTTCTTCGCCGCCGTCCTCGCCATCCTCGTCGCGGACCAAACCCTAGGCGCATCCCTCCGCAATGCGACGTACACTCTAGCAGGCGCGGTTCTCTCCAGCTTCCCTTCCGCCATCCTCTTCCGCCTATTCATGCTTCCGCCGCCGCCTGCGCCATCCTCCCCGCCTTCCGCCCCCCCTCCCCCGTCCCCCGCGCTCTACCCTCCTCCACCTCCAGGATTCCCGCCTCTTCTCCTTCCCCCTCCCTCCGCACTCCCTCTCTCAACCCCATTCCCTCTCCCAGTCGTCTCCTCCCTTTCTCTATACACTGATCTCTGGGCGACGCCGGCGGTTCTGCTGGTAACCTTAGCCTTAGCGACAGCGGTTCTCTCCTTCATTATAATCCCGCCACTCACTCGCAAGGTGGCCCTTGCAATCCTATCCATCCTTCTCCTCCAATTCGCCGCAGTCCTTCGTTCTGCAGACAACCTCCCTGCACCGTTCCAAACCGCTGCAATCCCCCCTGGCAACGCTTCAGCTACTGCTGCTGTTGCTGCGTCTGTTGTTGGGCCTGATTCAATCTACCCAGATGCAGCCTCAGCTCCCCGAAACGTCTTTGGGACTGAACCCTGGCTATACCCTCTCCGCTTCCTATGCACAGCCCTCCTAGGTATCTCCTGCGGTCTCCTCCCCATGCTGTTGCCCTTCCCCGCCCTCGCCTCCTCCCAAGCGCGCCAAAATCTCCAGTTTGCCGCCCGCTGCGCTGCCGCCCAGTTCCACACTCTCGCTGCGGCGTTTTGCCTGGTGGATTCCCAGGCGCTGGCGACTGCGGCGATTCAGGTGTGTATATTGGCACGGGCGGCCCAGCCTAATATATCCGCGTTAAAAGCTCTGGAGGCGGATATATGGTGGGAGGAGCAGGTGTGTGATCCGTTAAGGAGGGGGTGGTTTTGGGTGCGGTGGGGTGTGTTGCGGGTGTGGTTGAGAGGGGTGGAGATGAGACGGAGGCAGAAAGAAAGGGGAAAGAAGAGACAGTTGCAGGGGGAGAGGCAGAAGCAGCAGGATGTACCCGGTTTGACTTCCCAAACAGGTGAAAGAGAGGGAACAAGGGAAGCAGGAGAGTCACAGGCGGGAATAGCATCATCACCAGAAGCAGCAGCAGAGGGCGCCGCAGCAGCAGCAACAGGGACGGGTGGTGGTACAAGTGCAAGTGCGACTGCTAGTGCGACTGCCACAAGTGCGAGAGCCGTGCGGTGCCCCAGCGAAATGGAGGCGTGGGGAAGGGTTATCCGGGGGTTACAAGCGGTGGACGTGCATCTGCACGGCATGCGCATGGCTCTGGACACAGGGCAGATCAAGGAGTCCCCTCTTGCTCTCTTACACGAGCTCCGCCCGCCCCTTGTGCTGCTTGCTCGCTCTGTGGGCCTGTGCTTGAACCATGCTGCTGAGGCGCTTGGGGGAGGGGGAGCGGGAGGCGGGGAGGGAGAAGGAGTGGGAGAGAGAGAGGGAGAGGGAGAGGGAGCGGGAGAGGGAGAGGGAGAGGGAAGGGGAGTGGGCCGGAGCTCGCCTGCTGGTTCTCCTGCTGGTGCATCTGCCAAATCGGCAAAGCAGCAGCAACGGCGGCAACAGTGGCAGAAGTGGTGGCAGTGGGGGCAGTGGCGGCGGTGGTGGCAGCAGCAGCAGTGCGTGCACGGGCATGTAGAGCAGCTGTTGAGAGAGGGCGTGCAAGCAGTGATCGAGCTAGATGCTGCTCTGTTGCGAGGCAGAGAGCTCGCATATTACCGCCTGTATGATAGTGATAGTGATGATGATAAGTTGGAGCGGAGGGAGTCAGGACACGTGCTCGTGCACACAACCTCTCACACCCACACAAACTCTCCTCCTCCTCACAATCCTTTGCACTCAACCCCACTGTCACCTTCGCCCCACTCCCCTCCTCACTCCCTTCCTCACTCCGATCCGCACTCCCGGTCGCACTCCCTGCCACACGACCCGTGGGCGTTTGTGAGCAGCACGCACGCGTCAAGCCTGGTGGCATCGCAGTTCTTCCTCTTCAACGCGCGCCAGATGGCTCTTCAGCTCCTGCACCTTGCCTCCGACTGCTGCTGCCGCCACTGCCGCTCTGCCAACGCCGCCGCTGCTGCTGCTGCTGGTGCTGCTGCTGCTGCGGCTGCTGGTGGTGGTGCTGCTGGTACTGCTGGTGACGCTGGTGCTGCTGCCGCCAGTGCTGGTGCTGATGGTGGTGCTGCTCTGTCCGGTTACAAAGCACGCTCCTCCTCCTGCTGCAGGCACAGCTCTGTGCATGGTAGTTTAAGTGTGCGGGACAGCGTGCAGAGAGGCAGTGCGGGGGGGGCTAGGCAGTCGTACATAGAACCAAAGCAACTCTTTACAGACTCCCCTGCTGCTGCCACTCTTGTTGAATCCAGCAACCCTGCTGCTGCTCCTCCTACCACTCATCCTGCTGCTCATGCTACTGCTGCCACAGGCAACCACCCCACCACCAACACCCCTCCATCTGCTAGCAGCCGTTCCTCCCCCCACTCCACAGCCCTACCCCATGCTTTAAGCGGTGCTGCTGGGACCTCTGCTAGTAGACGCTCGTCTGCTTCCTCCATCGCACTCCACCACTCTGAAACCAGCTCTTTCACCAGACGGTTGTCCCATGAGCACGCACGCATGCCCCAGGTGTTGTCTCTAATTGATGTGACTATAGCGGTGGCTGAAGGGGACCAGGGAGGGGTGGGTGGGGAGGAAGAGGGGGAAGAGGGGGAAGAGGAGCAGGAGGAGGAGGATGAGGAGGACGAGGGAAATGAGGAGGATATTAGGGGGGATGAGGAGGAGGGTGTGAGGAAGAAAACAGAGATGGGAGGAGGGGAAGGCAGGGATTTAGAGGGGAAAGGGAAGGGGAGAAGAATGAGAATCAGACCGAAGAAAAGGGAGGCAATTCAAGGGAGACAACAGTCAGGAATCGTGCGCTGCTGTGATCGACTCAGTGCTGCGTGCTTACCTTGCGCATGCATCTTCAGAGCTTTTGCTCAGTTCCTCTCCTCCCTCCTCTCCTTTCTCCTCTCAGCCACACGTTTCCTCCTCACCTCCCTCTCTGCATCCTTCTCTTCTGAAAACGCCCTACCGCGAGCAATCGCCTCCTTCAAAGTCACCCTCGCTATAGTCACATCGGCCCTTCTGGGTGGCCTAGTCTCCCCCACATTCGACTTCTGGGCGGCAGTCACTGTAGCGTTCGTTTCAGGGGGGTACCAGGGCGGGTCGTTTAAAGCCTCTATGCTGAGACTGCAGGGGACAGTGGCAGGGGCTGTGTTTGGGTACCTGCTAGTTCCTCTTACTACGGATCGCATGGCGCTGCTGCTGGTTTCGCTGGCTGTGTGGGTGTTTTTTACTGCGTTTGCGCGGACGAGTAAAGAGTATGGGTATGCAGGGGTGGTTGCGGCGTTCACTGCTGCAATTATCATGCTGGGGTATCCGGCTCTCAACAGCCCTCTTCCTCCTGCCCTTTCTCCCTCGTCCCCGCCGCCCTCCCCTCCCTCCTCCTCTGTCTCCCTCTCCGACTTAACAGTCGAGCACTACGCTTTATTGAGAATCACAGAGACGTGCATTGGTCTCGTGTCTGTGATACTTATAGAACTTCTAGTCCTCCCCACGCGTGCTGCGGCTCTGGCTCGGGCCGAGCTTGTCGCCAACATCACTCGCTGCCGTGTCTGTGCTGCCACGGTTGCCTGGTCCTACTTCGGCGGGACGTTCGGCGGAAGGCTCGGCGGGAGGTTCGGCGACGGGCCGGGTGGGGTGGGCGGTGGTAGGGAGGTGGGGAGGTATGGTGGCAGGTCGAGCTGGGCAGGGTGGTTCGGAAGGTGGTTCGGGAGAAGGGGTAAGGGTGGCAGAGGGGGGGAGGGAGGGAGAGGGGGAGACGGTGGGGGAAGAAGAGGAAGTGGAGTGGATGATGAGAGGAGGGAGAGGAGAGGGAGTGAGGGATGCGAGAGGGGAGCTGTAGGAAAGGCCAAGCACGCGCCTGCATCAGCTGACAAAAAAGCTGGCTATTCTGTTGAGATGGGTCAGAGGGGTGGGCAGGCAGAGGTGACTCTTGAATCGGCTCAGAGGGCAGAGGGTGGGGTAACGGGGATGGATGGAGGAGTAGAGAGCGGTGCAGTGCAGATGAACGGAGGGAGGGGGAATTTGGCAGATGTTTTGGACTCTGTGGGTGAGCCTGTGGGTGGGTCCGCGGGTGAGCCTGTGAGTGGGCCTGTGAGTGGGCCTGTGGGTAGGTCTGTGGCTGTGTGTATACCAGCGTCACATGGGGATGCGTGGGAAGGGGATGGGGATGTTGGGAGCGAGAGTAGAGGTAGGGAGAGGCAGCAGCAGGAGGAGCAGGAGCAGCAGGAGGGGCAGGAGGGGGAAGTGGAGCGGATTGATTCTGCTGCGGATCTGCTAGGGCGTGAGAGGGGAGGGGCAGAAGAGGGGGCAAGGCAGAGGGCGAGGAGGAGGAGTGGGAGAGGAGGCAGGGAGGAGAGGGAACGGAGAGGAGGGCTTGCAGGGAGGAGGCAGTGGTTAGCTGCTGCAGGGGGGAGTGGCGGGCAGGGGAATCGGCAGGGGCAATGGCAGTGGCCTTGGATGCGGCTTTGGGAACCGCAGGTATCAAAGCAGCAGGGACAAACGCAACAGCCACAGCAACGGCATCAGCAGCAGCAGGAGGAGGAAGAAGAAAGGGTGATGACAAAGAGCAGGGAGTCGGAGCATGAGAGGGAGGAGAGGCGGCGCAGGGAGAAAGCCGGGGCAGTAAAACGAGTGGCAGAGTTACAAGCTGCCGTGGCTGCGAGCATGGCTCGGCAGCAGGTGCTGCTCGACGAAGCTACCACCGAGCCTGCGCTCTGGCACGCTCCGTTCCCCGAGCCTGCGTATAAGCGGCTGCTGGCGAGTCAGCAGAGGATGCACCAGTTGCTTTACTTTATGGATTGCAGCTTGAGGGCTGTGGCGTCTGTGGAAGGGAGGGAGAGGGAGGAGAGGAGGGAGAGGGAGATGGAGGTTGCGAGGGAGGGATGGAGGGTTCTTGAGGAGGAGAGGGCGCGAGGGAGAGAGGGGGAGAGGGAGGGGGAAGGAGAAAGTGGGGTGGCGCAAGTGGAAGCGGGGGGAAGGGGAGAAGGGGGAGAAGGTGGGGTGGAGGGCGGAGTGGGAGCAGAAAGTGGAGTGGGCGCAGACAGAGGCAACACGGTGGGGGGAGCAGTGGGAGATGGAGTGGGGGAAGCCTTGGGGGGCGCAGTGGGCGGAAGGGAGCTGGTAAGCAGCAGTGAACCGTTCCCAACGGTTGCAGCTAACAGAGAGACCAGTGCGGGTGGCATGGGCACGGGTGGAGAAATGGCAGACATAAGCTATGCAGGTTCCTCCGCACGCATTGAGATGCTTGAGGGGAGTCCCGGTGAGAGGAGCAGGGAGGGGGAGCGACTGGGAGAAGCAGCAGTGTCGCATGGCGCGTTGGCAGTAGCAGGGGCGCCGATTGCAACAGCAGCAACACCACCCAGCAGATATTTACCAGCAGGAATAGGAGCAGGAATGGGAGTGGGAGCAGGAGCAGGAGCGGGAACGGGAGCAGTGGGAATGGGAGTGGGAGTGAAGGTGCTGCATGGGAGACCTAGCGAAACAGGCAGGGAGGTGGAACGACTGGTACAGCCGCTGAGGGGAGCGTTGAGAGAGATGGAGGAGGAAATGGTGGTGGCTCTGTGGTGTGTGGAGCGTGCTCTAGTGTGGGGCCATGGCAGCTGGACTGGTGTTGTGGGGGGAGAGGATTGGGAAGAGGCGTGGGAGGAGGAGTGGGAGGATGGGGAGGATGGGGAGGATGGGGAGGAGGAGGAGTGGAATGGGGAGGTGAGGCGGGAGGGGAGGGAAGGCAGCTGGGATGGGAGGCAGCCGTTGGGGGGTGCGAGGGGGGCAGGGAGAGGAGTGGAGAGCGAGGGCGAAGGAAAGAAAGGTGAGGAAGGAGAGGGGTTTGGGAGGAGTGAGAAGGAGTGGGGGGTGGGAGGGAGTAGTGGGGAAGGGGTGGGGGGTGAAGCGCATCCAAAGAGGCTCGTGTGGAGGGTAGGGAGCGAGGATTCTGATGAGGAGGAGGAGGGAAACGATGAGAGGAAGGGAAGAAAGGAGGGGAAGGAGGAGGAGGTGGAGAAGGAGGAGAAGAATGTGAATGAGGAGGAGAGACAGTGGCAGCAGCAGGGCGGGCAGGAGGGCAGCAGTAGAGGGTGGAGTAGAAGAGGGAGTGGCGGCAGGAGAGTGAGTTTTGGGGGCAATCAGAGCACCAGATTGGGTGGAGAATCAGGAGAAGCAGGAGAAAGGGGTGAAGGGGATGGCAGGACGAGAGTTAGGAGGAGATGGAGCGAGCCTGTAGCAGAGCGAGGAACGGCAGGAGTGGGAGGCGCGTCAGGAGTGAGTCCAGGTGCAGGAGGGAGTGTGAGTGAGAGTGGGAGTGGGAGAGTGAGTGGGAGAGGAGAGAGAAAGGCACGTTGGACGGTAGGTGGGGGCGTGGAAGCCCACAGCGACACCCACACCCACCCCGAGTCCCACCCCGACTCCCACCCTCTCCGCCACCTCCCTGCCCACAACCACAAGATACAATGGCTGCTTCCCTCTCTAGCCTCCGCCCTCCCATCCCTCCCGCCGCTCCCAGCCGTTCCCACTCCCCACCGCCGCTCCCTCCCTTTGCTGCACCGCCGGCAGCAGCAACAGCACCACCACCAGAGCTTCGGGGGTTTCCGCAGCTGGCGCTGGCGCGTGGGGGCGTTTCAAGGAGGCATGGGGGATGAGGTGGGGGGCAGTGTTAGGCCGCTGCTGGCAGAGGATGGGAGTGGGAGAGGGGAAGGGAGGGGGGAGGGGAGAGGGGAAGGGAGTGGGGAGGATAGAAAGGAGGAGAGGGTTGAGGGAAGCAGGGAGGAGAGAGAGGGGGAGGAAAGCAACCGTGTAGTGGATTCAGCAGTAAGGGTGAGCGTAGAGGGGACTGATGCGACGACTCAGGAGGGGAGGAGTGGGCGGGGTGAAACAACTCAAAACACTCGTCATCGCGATGAATCGACGCCATGTACTGGCACAAGGAGAGCGGTGGCGGGAGCACACGGCACCACCACTAGGGGCAGGCGGGCGGGGCGGAAGCGAGCAATGGAGGGGTTCGAGCGCGAGTACAACGACGTACTCGACGGGCCTGATGCGGATTTTGAGGCGCCTCAAAAGTCGTCTCAAAAGTACAACCACGTACTGGACGGGCCTGATGCGGCGGCAGCAGGACATGGCACCAACACAAGAGGCAGGCGGGCGGGGAGGAAGCGAGCAATGGAGGGCTTCGTGCGCGAGTACAACCACGTATTAGACGTGCTGATAGCGAGTAAGAGGCAGCACCCGGCGGAGAGCATAGTGCGGAACTCGGCGATGCTGTCGTTCAACTCGCTGGTGTTCAGCATGCAGGCTCTCATGGAGGAGAGCGAGGAGCTGGCCAGGAGTGCGAGGGAGATGCTGCTGGTGGAGCAGCCGCTGGACGTGGGCCACATGGCGGCGATCCGGTTCACGTGAGAGGTAGTTGGATGGGGGCACGTGGGGATGTGAGGAGGTATGACACTTGAGTCAGACCAGAGAGGAAGTGCTGCTGGTGGAGCAGCCAATTTATGTGGGACACATGGCGGCGATTACGTTCACTTGAGGGAGTGGGTACTGGGCAGGGGCCATGGGGCAGGGGGGCCGCGGTGAGGGATGGACATTGAGTGAGCTCCAGAGAGATGCTGCTGGTGGAGCAGCCGCTGGACGTGGGACACATGGCGGCTATCCGGTTCACGTGAGAGGCAAGGGGGCAGAGAGGGGACAGCTTGTGGTCGCAGGTGGTGTGAGGGGACCATGGGGGTTACACAGTTCGCAGAAGGTGGTGGGGGTGGTGTGGAGAGGGTTGCTTGAGGGATGGGTATGAGGAGTCAAGATGAGGGAGGGGTGGGCCTTTTGGGGGTTTGTGGGCCTTTTGGGGGCTTGGCTTGGGTTGGGCGGTGTGGTGTGGCTGGCAGGATGTTGGGTAAATGTGTGACAAAGATTCCAGTGTTGGCTTGGCTTGGTGGGTTTCCATTCCACAGGAATTGAGGAGAGAATCGGTGTGTTCGATCATGAGGTGTTGGTGGTCGGTTGATGCAGATACCTTTACATTTATTCATTCTTTATGCATATGCACACGCAGTACCTCCCTTATACACATGGAATATGTTCACAAAAACCAGTCAGAGCAGCTACTTACCTGCTCTTCACAGCCAATGCAGAGTACAGTACAATATACTACACTAATGTACACTACCATGGAATACAACTTAAATTGAGCTGTACTGTACGCTAATGTGCTGCTTCAAACATAGCGGCAAGCTCAGGGGGTGGCTCATAGTGGATCTTGTTGAGCGAAGAGTGCATGTCAATAGAGTACACTCGCTTCACCCTCATATACGTCTCCTGCAATCACGAGAAAAAAACCCAGTGTGCAAGTCTTGCGTTTTTTGTTGAAAAAAACAAAAAAAACAAAAAAAACAAACAAACAAGCAAACAAGCAATCAAACAAACAACACAAAGGGCATGCAGGAGGTTCTTTGAAGAGTGCGCGTCAGAAGACAAAGAAAACCACTAGGAACACCAAACCAATCCATAGAGAAGCCCCGGAAAAAACTGTATTTTTGCTAGTTAACCAACCATCTGGTGAAGCAAGCACTACAGGCACACCAATCACCAAAAGAAAGGAAAGAATAATTAATGCGAATACAGCTAGTTGAAACAGAATTGGCATGGCTATAATACTCCAAACGTTTTAACAATTTGGATATGCCATACTGCTCAATCTCATAACAACGACTGTTGTGCGATATATAGCAACAACCAGTTAGATTGTGGAGAGCATCACGACTATGTTACTCCTCAGACCTCTTTGAAACTTTAAGTTATACTTTCTGCTTCAAAAACCACTTATTTCTCTACTAAGAAATTCTATTGAAGAAAATAATGTAAGAAGCTGCACCCTCACCTCGCCTCCATATCCTCTCCTGTGCAGGGCTTCAGATCCGTTTTGGGCCACCCTTAGTAATCAGGGTTCTAGGTATAGTCAACCCTGATGCATAGGGTAAATTTTTTGTTTCCCTGACAAATGCAGGGTAAAAAAACAGTTAGTCTGTTTGGGCAGGGTATTCTTAAAAACTCTATTTTGTTTAAGTGTTGAAGCATTCGAGATCAGTGGCTAGTAGTTCGGCTGGTTCAATTGCGCATGAGATCTGTAATGTCACAAGGTCAATCCTCGCTAATGTTATCATTTTGCAGGGACCTGTATAGTGTTTCGTCTCGCTACGGAGCACTCAGTACCAGTATAGCTGGGATTGTACACTGTATAGTCAGAGTAATGTGTTCATTATGCTGTTTTTCAAAGGGTATTGAAAAACTTTCTCTTTCTGGCCTAGGGAAAAAAATCCACTAACCTGCCTGTGAAAGGGTAACTGAAAAAAAACGGCCGCCAGTCAGTGCAAAAAGGGTATTTTACCTTGATAACGAGAGGCCTGCTCCTGTGCATCAGGCACCTTCAGTTCAATTAGAATTCTACAGCACCTTGTCTTGTCTGGTGAAGCGAACGCTCTTTCCAAAGGTGTCTTCTTTTGAGTGGACTCAAAGAAGCACCTTTGAATGCAATCCTGCCCATGCACCCACGCACCCACGCACCCACACACGCACGCACGCATGCACCTTGTCTCGGAAAACTTCTGACAGCCGATGTGACGAGTTGGTAAAATGCACGCTCTTCCCAAAGGCAAAGGCGTCCCCGGGTTGCCTCCCCAGCAGCGCCATTACCGCCGGCACGTCCTTGTGCATGCGCTCAACGCGACCCACAAAGTTGTACTTGATGTGGTTCAACCCGCAGAGCAGCAACTGGGAGGGTAGGGAGGGGATTAGAGGGTTGGGATGGGTCGACTCAAAATACGGTATAGAGGGATGGGATGGGTTGACTCAAAACACGGTATAGAGGGATGGGATGGGTATCGAAAGCACTCCGAAAAGACCTGGGACATCATACCGGAGAAGCACATGAAGCAACACCTGAGGAATCACTTGAGGAATCACCTGAAAAAGCACCTGGGCACACACCTGCGGTGCTAATTGAAGAAGCACCTAAGCACACACTTGCGGTGCTATATGGTTGTCCATCAAACGCTCTTCATCCGCCTCTCTTGCTGCCTCTAGCAGAGCCACAAATTCCTTGAATGACAACGTGCCTCCTGCTTGCAGCCGCAGCATGGTATGGAGAGAGAGTGCAGGCGTGGAGGTATGGGGGAGGGGGAAGGAGGAGGAGGAGGAGGAGGAGGAGGAGGAGGAGGAGGAGGAGGAGGAGGAGGAGGAGGAGGAGGAGGAGGATGAGGAGGACGAGGAGGAGGAGGAGGAGGCGGAGGAGGAGGAGGAAGGGGAGAGGGAGGGGAGGTGCGCAGAGAGTAGGTCCTTCCAGCCTAAGGGGCGGTGGGTGGTGTTGCTGGTCCAGAAGAGATGCTGGAAGAACAACTGACAGGTGGGGGTTATATGTATGGAGGGCAAAGAAATTGAGGGCAAAGAGGGTTGAGGACAGAGGCACGGAGGATAAAAGAGAACGCAAGTGAGGGGTGAGGAAAGAGGGGATGGAGTCAGTAGGCCGATCTTTACCTCTCCTTTTGCGCTGCCCTCCCCTTGCACTCACTTGCTCACTCACTTGCTCACTCACTCAATCACTAACTCGCTCACTCACCAGGGACCAGAACCGCCTCTTGCCCCACCCCCCACTCTCTGCCTGCACGTGCTTGTTGACAAAAGCAGACACCACCCGCGAGAACGGATCCCGCACAAACACAAACCAAACCAGGCCGCGCCGCGTCACCGCCCGTATCGCCTCAGGCTCGGTCATGCCGAACCAGAGCATCGGGAGGTGGGAGCGGGCGGGGAGGTGCATGGTTCGGAGGTTGTGTGCGTCTGAGTCATTGTGTTGCTGCCGAAACCAAATCTTCCAGCTGGTGCAGGCGGCTTTTGGGATGGCGCAGTATAGCAGACCGAGGGACTCTGGAAGGAGGAATGGAGGAGGGAGGGGTGGTGGTTGGGGGGGGGGGGGGGGGGGGGGAGATACTGGGCATCTGAGTCGTCGTGTTGCTGCCGGAACCACATCTTCCAACTGGTGCAAGCGGCCTTGGGGACGGCGCAGTGTAGCAGGCCGAGGGACTCCGGAAGGAGAACGGGGAGGGGAATGGGGATGGGGCGAAAGAATGTCCTTCATTTTCCATTTTTGAAGCACCTAAAACAAATGACTTTGTTTCTTGAGTTGTTGTGCTGTTGCCGGACCCAGGCATTCCAGCTGGTGCAAGCGGCTTTAGAGACAGCGCAGTATAGCAGATCGAGGGACTCTGGAAGGAGGAACAAGGGAAGGGGCAGGGGGGATAAGAGACGAGGGGATGCAAAGGAGAGGAGAGGATAGGAGAGGAGGGGACTTGGGAGGAGAGAAGATTAAAACAGCTGAAATGAAATCAGAGCAGAGGAGAGCAGAGTGCGGGAAGACACGGGAGTCACTTTTGAGAATTCTTGCAAGGGGACAAGGTGTGCGTTAATCACCATCCATCACAAGAGTTGTTGATGCTTTAAATCCGAAACTAGCATCACCATTCACACAGACTCAAAAGTCACTAGAATCGAAGGCAAACGGCTCACTGTGAACAAGGGAGGGAACAAGATGCCTTGCTTGCTTACTTACCCCATCACTTGAGTTCCTTCCCGATCCTGTGCTCAGTTATCAACTTTATAGCCAGCGACTCACACAAGGCTTGTTGTGAGGCGCTTAAAGAATAAACAAGATGTGTTGCTCGCCTGCTTTTAGAGGTGCATTTGAAGCGCCTCAAAAGGCGCCTAAAGAATAAACAAGATGTGTTGCTCGCCTGCTTTTTGAGGTGCATTTGAGGCGCCTCAAAAGGCGCTTAAAGAATAAACAAGATGTGTTGCTCGCCTGCTTTTTGAGGTGCATTTGAGGCGCCTCAAAAGGCGCCTAAAGAATTAACAAGATGTGTTGCTCGCCTGCTTGCTCGCTTACCATCCACAATGAGTTCCTTCCCAGTCCTGTGCTCTGTGATGGGCTCCATAACCGGCAACTCACACAACGCTCTCTCCTCCTCAAACACTCAGGGGATTCTCCTCCCACACTCTCACTCACTCTCACTCCCGCACCCCCACTCTCTCTCACCCCCTCCTTCCTAGCATTCTCTTTCTCTCGGCCACCCTCAATCTCACTCTCACCCCTCCCCTCTCTCATGGGCACACTCTCAGGAGGAGAATCACTCTCCCTCATCGCCACCACCGCCCCTCTCGCTCGGGCTTGTGCTCTTATCAGGTCGGCTTGTGGCGAGGATATCATATGAATGAGCCCCTGTGACGACAGCCAGCGGTGACGACGCCGGTGGAGCTGAAGTTGGGACAATGCGAGGCTCCACGGCGCCAAGTGGCTTGGCGACAGATCATGCAATGCGGCATAAGGTGGGATCCGGTCCGAGGAAACCATCTAGCGGACGGAGGGGGAAGCAATCTTCGGGGGGGAATAGGCCGAAGCGCGGCAAAGAAGGCCCTGGTGAAGCGGATGTTGAGGACGAGGGGGATGGGGAGGAGGAGGCCGAGTAGGATGCGGAGGAGGAGGACGAGGATGCAGGGGAGGGAGAAAAGGACGAGGATGAGCAGGAGGGCGACGATGATGAGGAGGAGGAGGAGGAGGAGGAGGATGAGGATGAGGACGATGAGGAGGACGATGAGGGGGACGACGAGGATGAGGAGCAGGAGGAGGAGGAGGAGGAGGAGGATGAGGAGGAGGAGGAGGAGGAGGAGGAGGAGCAGGAGGAGGAGGAGGAGGAGGAAGAGGAGGAGGAGGATGATGAGGAGGAGGATGAGGAGGAGGAGGACGACGAGGAGGAAGAGGAGGTGGAGGAAGGGGCGGATGAGGAGGAGGAGGAGGAGGAGCCGGCAGGGAAAGGACGGGGCGCGCGAGGCGGACGGGGGAGTGGCACAGGGAAGGTGGGGGGCCGGTCTGGACAATCCCGGAAACGCGGGGCGGGTGACGCAATGCGTGCCGGACCAGCGGGCAAATCGAAGGCGCGTAAGGTGAAGGTTGAACTTGACCGGGGTGGAAGGAAGCAAGTGAGACAGGGAGCTAAAGGCGATAGAGACGGAAAGGGACCGCGCGCGAAAGGGGTACCTGTGGGTTCGGCAAAGAAAGAACCTGCCCGTAAACGAGGCACCACCCGCCAAAGCACACCGCGGAAACGGGGCAACGATAAGGAGCAGGCAGCAAAACCGAAGGGACAGCAACGTGGTAAGCAACGTGTCACAGACGACTGGCATAGCTGCCGCGGTTTGTGCTGAACAGACCCTAACAACACGTTCCACCCGTCTTTTCCCGCCGCAGGGAAGGAGAAGGTTGACGAATCGGCTAACCCGGGTAAGGCGTGACTATACACTACAGTTCCGTGCTACACCCATGTTAGAATCATGCGGTTGCTCGTCATGTTTGCACGTGTCCAAATGCACCTTACAGACACCAGCTCCGTGCTCATCCTCCGTGTGACTCTCAGCCCCCCGTGTTACAGGCATTGGGCCACCGGTAACCGTGCAACAGATGCCGCTAGCGAAAGGGGCCGGAAGAGCGAGTGTGGCACCGCTATCCACAGGAGGACCAAGGTTCTTCACGCCATACTCCGGCCCGAGCAAAGTCGCTGCGACTGCACCCGGCGCGGCAACAGGCGAGGAATCCGAATCCCCTCCACCAGCCCCCGTCACGCACTCCCCACTCGCCTCTCCCTCATACCCATTTCGGCCACTACACGCTTGTCCAGCCCGGGGCAGGGCGGTCTCCCCCCTCGCCGGTCCATCGCGTGTGCATCAACCAAGCACCTTTGCCAATCCCTTCCCTGAGCTTCCCTTTTCCCGCCAGCGTGATAGTGTGAGGGCACACGGTGCTGCTGCAGAAGACGTTGATCCCCTTGGCCAGAGAGGGGTTTCTACACACCCTTTTCCGGATGTCATGGATGCGCTGGCTGTAGGTGCAGAGCACGGGCAGTTTGTTACACGAGACGAGTTCCAGCAGCTACGGTCTGAGATGTACGCCATGTTTGCTCAGCTCGGCCTGCGTCGGGGAGCAACTGCCAGCTATGCCGGGGGGGCCGCAGTGGTGCCGATGGGTGGTACCCCGCCGCCGATGAGTGCCGTGGACAAGGCACGTGTGCTTGTGCTGCAGGAGACCAACCCATTCCCGGTATGTGGCGGGTTGGGGTTGACGTGGCAACCAGGGCAGGGTTGGGAATGACCAGGCGGTTGGAAAGGGTGCGCGGGAGCGGTGCAGGGCGACACGTGACTCCACACGTGGGCGGGGGCTGACGTGGCTCTTTCGGATCTCTGTGTGCGACGTGGCAAGTGGGTTGGGTTGGTGGGTTTAGACGGCGGACGCAAGAGGGTGTGACGTGGCGGGATGTGTGGCTTGGTGCTGACGTGGCACCTTGGAAGGGCACACGGGAGCGGCGCTCAACGAGGCGCCGCGTGTCAGGTGGGTGGGGTGTGACGTGGCATGGGGTGGGCGGGTGTGACGTGGCACGTGGGGCTGGCTGCTACCTGACGTGGCGGATGCAGGAGGGTGTGCCGTGGCGGGATGTGTGGCTTGGTGCTGACGTGGCGGCTTCGAAGGGTACACGGGAGCGGCGCGTGACGATGCTACACGTGTGCGGTGGGTGGCTTGGTGACGTGGCATGGGGTGGGCGGGTATGACGTGGCACGTGGAGCTGGCTGATCCCTGACGTGGCGGACGCAAGGGCGTGTGACGTGGCGGGATGTGTGGCTTGGTGCTGACGTGGCGGCTTGGAAGGGCACAAGGGAGCGGCGCTCAACGAGGCGACGCGTGTCAGGTGGGTGGGGGGTGACGTGGCATGGGGTGGGCGGGTGTGACGTGTCACGTGGGGATGGCTGCTCCCTGACGTGGCGGATGCAGGAGGGTGTGCAGTGGCGGGATGTTTGGCTTGGTGCTGACGTGGCGGCTTGGAAGGGTACACGGGAGCGGCGCGTGACGACGCTACACGTGTGCGGTGGGTGGCTTGGTGACGTGGCATGGGGTGGGCGGGTATGACGTGGCACGTGGGGCTGGCTGATCCCTGACGTGGCGGACGCAAGGGCGTGTGACGTGGCGGGATGTGTGGCTTGGTGCTGACGTGGCGACTTGGAAGGGCACAAGGGAGCGGCGCTCAACGAGGCGACGCGTGTCAGGTGGATGGGGGGTGACGTGGCATGGGGTGGGCGGGTGTGACGTGTCACGTGGGGCTGGCTGCTCCCTGACGTGGCGGATGCAGGAGGGTGTGCAGTGGCGGGATGTGTGGCTTGGTGCTGACGTGGCGGCTTGGAAGGGTACACGGGAGCGGCGCGTGACGACGCTACACGTGTCAGGTGGGTGGGGGTGACGTGGCATGGGGAGGGTGGGTGTGACGTGTCACGTGGGGAGGCGGTGGTGGATTTGGCGGATGCAGGAGGGTGGGTGGGGGGTGACGTGGCATGGGGTGGGTGGATGTGACGTGGCAAGTGGGGCTGGTTCCTCCCTGACGTGGCGGACGCGGGAGGGTTGGTCACGCGGCCAGAGTCATAATTGATGGTTTCTCTCTCCCCGTGTCGTGTTGTAAATCCACACCCATGCGCAGAGCAAAGCCTACTTAGTGTGCTCTCAGCTCCTGTTTCTGAACCCCCCGGAGAAGATTCAGTATTACCCTGCACCGGAGGAAGTGTTCGAGGCGTTCGCTGTCCACTTGTCTCACGAAGGGCTAGAGTCAATGCAGCTGCTGTGGTTGCACAACGACAAGTCAACCATGGGTGTCTTCAACCACCAGATGTCATCAACCAGGTCAACAATCAACAGCACCCTCAGGCCAGCAACGTACGCCGGCATGGGTCTCTCCGATTACGCCAATGCGGTGGATAGCCTGCCCACTGAGCTACGCCCGGAGAAGTGGTTCAACGACGAGCAGCTCCTGGCCGAGTACAGAGATGGTATGTGCGTCTCAAACACACCATATCCCCCTGCCCATAAGCCAGTCAGCAGCTACAAATAACCGTGCCGTGGTACTCTGACCCTGTCTCTCACCCCCCCACTTGATCTATCTGCACCCCCTTTCCAACCCATACACTCCCTCCCAAAATGCAGAACAGTGGACCCTCAACTGGCACTTTGACAAGGCCACCGGAACGCCCTTCAGCAACCCCTTGTTTGCTTATGCGTTCAAGCTCTCCTTCAAGAGGAGCGGGGTCGTGTTCACCAAGTTCAAGAGCCGCATGGTGGCATGGGGCCTGTTTTCGGTAAGGAGGTAGATAAGTGACACTACACCCATGCCTCATCCCCTAAACCCCTCGCCTGTACTTCATCTAAAACCCAGGTCGCTTAGGCGTTTGCGGTTACGTAGGGTGTGACGTCTTCACTGCTTTCAGTTGGATCATATGCCCATAACCTCCCCTCATACACCATCCACCCAACCCTACACCACATTGCAGATCGAGTGGCCCCTTCTGCAGGACAAGCGCCGCAAGCGTATTCCGGCCCAGCCGGAACAAAACAGGCCGGACTACTTCGAGTGGTGTGACAAGGTCAAACAGATGATACACTTTGCCGTTGTGGAGCGACGCATCCCACACGATCCGGCTCAGGGTGCGTTCGTCTTCCCGAACAAGTTCCTCATCGACGATGGCGACCTTGGAGATGTTGTTCTTGCCTACCGGGGGCTTGCAGGGCCCACCATTGCGTAGACTATTTGACTGGGTGTTAAAACTGCTGGTTGTTAGAATGCTGAATAATGGAAGCTGTAACCCGCGAATATTGAATGTAATTCTGAAATCCTCAATTCCCAGAATAAAACAAAAACAAAATCCATTTTTTAATGATTTGGTCACAAAACTGACCCTAAACGGATTGCGCGCGAATGTCAGCCGGAACAGCACGCGTGCCAAATTGGAACTTGACCCGAGCCAAGCCTTGTCGCGAAATGTGTGTCGGAGCTCCTATCAAATGACTCAAACCGTCGGTCGAAATTCGGTCCCGAATTTTTTACGCGAAGACAATCCCAATCAAAATTCGTCCAAACTTGGCATAGGGTTTTTGTGATGTGCTTGAGAAAATTGAAACGAGAATGATTGACTAAGGAATGAAAGTGGTACAAATGTGCAACCCTAGAAATGTGTACCCCATATAGGCTACCCCACTACAGCCTACACAACATTATAATTTGACATACCCCCATAGGCAAAGTGGGGGAGAACAAGGGGTCACAAGACCAGTCAAACAAAGCAAAGCAAAGCTCACGGTGGATCACAAAGTCACCATTCAGTCCGAGCACAAGTTCAAGGCCAGAAGGCCAGTTCACATGCAGGAGCACACATATATATAAAGGCTAAACAAGTAAGAGCAGGAGTATACAGTATATATATGTGACAATACAAGCAAGGTCAAGAAGTGAGCAAGTGAGGCAAGGTAGGCACAAGACCAATCTAAGTACAGAAGCGCTGATGATCACAAGGCGCAAGTGCCTTAGTGAAGATATCAGCGGTGTTGGCCTCAGAGGCCACGTACGCAAGTCGCAACTAACCACGCTGCTGCAGCTCACGAGCAAGAAAGTAGCGGAGAGCAATGTGCTTCGTTCTGTGCTCCAGGCGCTGCTCCCGACACAAGGCCAGCATGGCCTTGTTGTCTACGTACAACACTGGAGGAGAACGAGGCGGCTCTCCGAGGCCAGTCACCAGGTAGGTGAGCCAGCGAAGCTCCTGAGCAGCCATGGCTCCTGCGTAGATCTCAGCCTCACAACTGGAGCCGAGAACAGAAGACGAGCGGGTAGCCCGCCACGAAACAGAGCCGGAACCAAGGCTCAAGGTGTAACCCTGTGACGACCGCTGCGTAGTCTGGTCGTCAGCCCAAGAAGCGTCTGCGTGCCCAGTGAGGACCACTGGACTCTGCCCTCCAAGCACTGGCCCCATGCCCAACGTACTGCACAAGTAGCGCTATGTCAAAATTAGAAGGAAGAAAGAGGATTGAACTAGCAAGAATGAGGATACAAATAGCAAACCCTAGAAGGGTTGTACTCGCTATAGAGCACCCCACTACAGGCTAGAACAATAAGATAATATTCTGACACACCCCCATAGCCAAAGTGGGGTGTAATCAGCAGAGCAGGCAAAGCAAAACAAGCTCAGGGTGGATCACAATGTCACCACACATTCTGAGCACAAGTTCAAGAAGAAATAGTTTAGAGTTCACAATTATAAGCAAAGCTAGTGGTAGTCACAACGGGCAAGTGAGGAGGAGGAGGGAGAGTGAGGGGAGAGGAGACAGGAGGCGACGGCTGAAGCTGCAGACACACGGGCAACAGGAGGCAGACTGGCACAGCGGCTACCGGACAGCGCCCGGACTACAGGGGTAACAGGCCCCGCGGCTCAAATAGCGGCGGACGGGCAACGGACCCACGGGCGGCTGGCACAGCTGGCTACGACTGGGCTACCGGGACAGCGCCCCGGACTACAGGTGCTGCTGACGACAAACTGGCAACCTCTGCTCATCCTCCCGCACACAGTCCCACCCCCCTGATACACACCCACTGCTACACCACTAGCTCTACTCCCACGCACCCCCCTAAAACCCTAAACCCAGTCTCCCACACAACCACCCCCCTCAGCGACAGCTGCAGCAGTGGGAGACGAAGGAGGAGGAGGAGAAAGGGAGGAAGGCACACCGGCCACCCCCATACCCGCCACCCCACAGCTCGCCCCTCCCATCGTCCGTCGAGGCGACCTGAGGGGGCCGCAAGCGGCCCCCTCAGGTCGCCACGACGGACGACGGGAAATGGTAGGGGGAGGGGGGGGGGGGGGGGGGGGGGGGGGGGGGGGAGAGTGGGGCCCACGACGGACCTGAGAGGAGAGCGGGGCCGCGACAAGGGGCGGGGCCGCTTCGAAGGGACGGGGCCGCGACGCAGGGCGGGGCCGCGACGTAGGGCGGGGCCGCGACAAGGGGCGGGGCCGCTTCGAAGGGACGGGGCCGCGACGCGGGCGGGGCCGTGTCGGTCGGGGCGGGGCCGCGACGTAGGGCAGACGCCCGCGAAGGTGGGGCGGGGCCGCGACGCAGGGCGGGGCCGCGACATAGGGCGGGGCCGCGTCGAGGGGCGGGGCCGCGACGAAGGGCGGGGCCGCGACGTAGGGGAGAAGCCCGACGTAGGGCGGGGCCGCGACGTAGAGCAGACGCCCGCCGCACGCCTCGGGGCGCACAGCGGGCAAAGAACCGCCGCGCGCCCTAGG